ATGAGATTACAACTTTTCCCCACAAGTTCAAGTTGAAGGTCCATGTCACCATGCCTGCCAAGATGATCCCAAGGGTCTTTGGGAAAGTCACAAAAGCACCACTTTGTCCCTGGGATTCCCCCTCCACAAATGCCTGTGTAACCACTAGGCAGCCACCATTCGTGGAAGGAAAATGGGCAATGCAAAGATGAGTCCTCCTGCAATCCTCCCTTGCCTCTTTCTCCTGTCATCCTTCAGCAGTTGCCATAGGAATGTTTACTGACATCTGGAAGCCATCTGAGTTTTCTTCAGCCGTCCAGATGTTACTGATAGATGCAAGCCAGAAAGGAGCAGAAGAGGTGGGTGAGGGTGGGAGGATGTGGACAATGATTTGTGGAAGACACATGACCTCAAACCTATGAATGTGAGAAATTTCTAGAAATCAAGTCAACTTCCACAGAGGAAGAAGACAGAAAACTAGGTTCCGGGAAAGAGATGTGTGGCTGGGATGCAGGCACAATTTAATCAATGGATGAATCAATGATCCATTGAGGGTTACAGTTCTGCAGCTGCTGCTAATTCTTTTGAGTCAGCAGAGGCGAGCTGCCAAAAGAGAAAAAAGATCTAAGGACATGGCTGGGTCTTGTGACACTCTGTGTATGGAGAGGTCCGATGATTTCACCATTATTCACAGTAGGTAATGTGGTTGCTCAACCTCATTTCTCGTTCAGTTGCAGTCACTTCTTGCTACAACTGGGAGTCCTGACTGTTTGGAAAAGGGCTGCAGAGAGACTGTTTGGAAAAGGGCTGCAGTGTTTTTAATTTGTCTAAGCTGCCCAACACGAAAGTTATTGAGCAAACTTGAACAAAGGTTATTAAAATATTAGGGCAAACAAACAAACAACCCCACCCCCAAATATGCAATGGTTGATAGACCAGAGAAGATAAAATTCTCTAGCCGAGCACAAAATTAGGCCCTTAAAATTGAACTGAATGCAAAACTGCTGAGAGTTTAAGCTAATGATAAATGGACATCAATTCTCTTTGGTGAGGGCTGCCCAGAATTACTTTATAGGGCAGGTGGGCAGCATGATAAATAAATAAATAAATAAATAAATAAATAAATAAATAAATAAATAAACGAATAATGTTGTACTAATCAGTTCCACCATCATCTAAATCCCTTGAGGGTATAAAGAAGGAGATGAAGGAGATGACCAGGCCTGAGGGAGGAGTGCCTGAGGGAGGAGTCAAGTGTGTCATCAGTTTTACACGCACAAGAGATCCAAGCCCAGCCTACCTTGAATTCCATTGACTCTTATCTACCACCAATTTGCCTTGACTACTAGTAATTCAGATTTTTGTAGACAGCATGCAATATATCTATAGTATTTGAACCATCTTGCTTCTGATGTATTGTGCCTGATAGGGCAAGCGACAGGAAGGAAAATCTGGAGGAGGAACCACTAATGTTGAACAAAGACTTTGGGCAGATACATGAGAAAAGAGTCCCAGGGCTCTAAAATTAGCACCAAGAGCTTACACTGGGGCAGGAAACATACTGGCAACCAATAAGCCACATTTTCTCATGGCATCTCTGAAAAGGAAGAATATATCTCACGAAACCATTGCAAAATACAGGATGAAGGAAAAGTTTGAAGACTGAGATTGATAAATGCTCATGAGAAATGTTTGATGTTTGAGCATCGTCATTGGAGAATACCTATTTACTATGAAAATTCAAATAATCAGAACTACATGAAGTATATGCAAGAATATTGGAGGAACTTGCTGATGGTTTGATCGAACCTTTATATATTATTTTTAAGGAAATCTGGAGCAGGTGAGAGATGATTGGAGGATGGTGTACAATGTCCTTATCTCTCAAAAGGGATATGAAAGAACCGGGATTGTGGAACTCCTTTCAGTGCCTCACTTGAATTTGATGAGGAAGCAGGGTGCAACTTTTGAGCCTCCTATATATCTACTTGTCATGCCACGTATCTAGGATTAAAGGGTACATTGTTAAATGCTATGCTGAAATCAAGACATATTATGTCTACAGCATTCCCACATTCTACTAAGGAAGTTACCAGTTCAAAACAACAGATAAGTACACCTTTATCTATGCTGATTTCTGATAATTGGCACATTGTTGTCAACTCCTTATGCAATGAATTATAACGAGTCTTCTACAATCTTCCCAGGTATCAAACTCAGACTGGGGGATTTATGGACATCCCTGCTTATACAGGTACTCCTTGACTTATGACCACAATTGAGCCCAACATTTCTGTTGTTTAAGTGAGATATTTGTTAAGTGAGTTTTGCCCCATTTTTGCAACCTTTCTTGCCAAGGTTGCTAAGTCAATCATTGCAGTACTGCAACTGTAAGTTAGTAACCTGGTTGTTAAGTGAATCTGGCTTCCCCATGGACTTTGCTCATGAGAAGGCTGCAGAAGGGGATCACAACAGTCATAAATATGAACTAGTTGCCAAGCATCTCAATTTTGATCACATGATCATGGGGATGCTGCAAAAGTTGTAACTGTGAAAAACGGTGATAGTTCACTTTTTTCAGTGCCGTTGCAACTTTGAACGGTCACTAAATGAACTGTTGTAAGTTGAGGACTACTTGTATTCCTAAGCAGGGATGTCCAAGCACATGTGTCCATGTTGGGGGATAAGGAGGGCAAATGGCAACTTGAGCATCTTGATGTCACACCTCATGCTGGAGACAACAAGAATGATCAGGGAAGTAGAAAATAAGCTCTGGGAAGAGGCATTGAAGTAGCCCTGCTTTTTTGACCATGAGAGGAGAAGATCATGGAGGGATCTAAAAGAACCCTTAAAAACCACAAGGAGTGATAGCACTGCTCTACACTGCTCTACACTTGGAATTCTGCATCCAGTTCTCATTATAGTGATACAGAAAAGATGCCGATGCCCCAGAAAGAGTGCAGAGAAGAGCAGCAAAGACAGTAAGGGGTCTAGAAGCTAAATTTTATGATGAATAGCTAAGGGAACTGGGCATGTCTAGCCTAAGAGAAGGTTTAGGGGAGACCTACTTGAAGGGCTGTCACATGGGAAAGGAGGTTGACTTATTCTCCAGTGCACTTAAGAGCAGAACAAGAAGCAATGGGTTCATCAGAGAGAGATCCAGTTTGGAAAAAAGGAAGAATTGAAAACAATTAATCAATAATTAATCAAAATAACAATTAATCAAATTAATCAATCAAACTTGCCTCCTGGAATTGTGGGTTCTCCATTGCTGGAGATTTTTAAGAAAGGCTTGGACAGCCATTTGTTCAGGGTGGTATAAGGCCTTGGGCAGAGGATTTGAGAAGAAGACCTTCAAAGCCCCGTGATTCTATGAAATTCTTGAAAAAATATGGCCAAAATAATCATCGAGGTTGTTCTATGTCAGAATGCAGGACGTGGAGTAATTAGGTAGTGAAGGTTTTCATTCAGCAATAGGCAAAAACTTTCTAATAGTAAAAACAATTTGGAATTAAGCACCAAGGGAAGCATTGGATTCTCTTTCACAGAATGTATTTAAGCTAAGGCTGGGCAGCCATCTGTTGGAAAACCTCTAATTTGGATTTCTGTGCAGAGCAGTAAGTTTCGCTGGATGGCATAAATGACCCCCTTTGACTGTGAACATGTGAATGACTGGCTAATGTCCCTTAATGGTCAGATAACATCTGTTCTGGAATTGCATTGCACTAGTAATTGGTCATTTCCCCCTCCCCCTGCCAAAACTCCCCCAAATTATTTTAAAGCTTGGGTTTACTTTCCCTGCTAGAGTTGCCATTCTTCCTTTGGTCCTGTGTCTTGCTTTAAGCTCCACCCCAAAGCAAAAACATTTAGAAGAAGACTTTCTTGAAGGACTGCAAGCAATGACAGGACCTTGGAAGAGCTACTAAGAAGACTGGCTGAAAGACAGTGGGCAATTGTCCTGCTTTTTGGAGAGGAGGAGCACTAACATTTTGAGCTGCAAGCCCTAATATAAATTAAACGGAAATCCCAGAATATCCTTTTCATTACCAAGTCATCTTCTGCGGGCCCAGTGGTCCAAAAATAATAAAAAAATCCGTGGAGCAATCCAAAGTTGTCCACTCTTACAGTAGACTTGCCAGGAAGAAAAACTTGTCAACATTAAGGTTGACTCAGAAAACTTTTCTGTCTCATTCCAAGGACATGAAGGTTAGCTATGGTTATTCAATAAAGAAGAAAAGCGCTATGTGACCCAAGATGCTTGACTCTCCCCCACCTTCATTATTATTGTTTACTCTTACAGTCTCATTTCTGGCATTGCAATCAGCATTTTGCGCCCAAGTTCTGTAGGCCATGATTTGAATTTAGTCCTTGTGGGACAATTAACAGCTGTTCCAAATATTCTGATGGCCACAGTCAGAACATCAGGAGTGCCTTCCACCTACCATTTGTCTGAATTAGCCCCAGATGGTATAGAGTCTCCTGCTTGAAGAGAAGGTTGGACTAGAAGACCTCCAAGATTATTCCGTTATCTATCAGCTTCCTCTGCCTTCTTGAGACGTCCCCTATCTTCTGTCTTGTTTCTTCAAGAATTTCTACTAAGTGATTCTTTGAGATCATAGCTTCCCTACTCTCTACAACAGTGTTTCTAAATTTTGGCAACTTTAAAATGGGTAAACTTTAACTTCCAAAATTCCTCTGCCAACCTGCTGATTGGGGAATTCTGAGAGTTGAAGTCCATTCATCTTCAGGTGGCCAAGGTTGAGAAACACTACTCTAAGGTCCCAACTTTCAGAATTCCCAGCTAGCATGGACAATTACAGTGTTGATTGAGAATGCTGGAGCTTGATAGCTTATAAGTCGAGGACTTGTAAGAGAAGGACCACTGGGAGTTAAAAAGCCAAACATTGCTTATTGAAATTACAAGTTCAATTGAGTGTCAGTTCAAGCTAACATCCAAGGGGCAGATTCATTGAAAGTATGTTGGAATCTCAGAGTGATAGGAACATGCACCTCTTACTTACATTTGCATATGATGATATCTTCTCACATGGAGGACACTGCAAAAAAAAGAAAAGCAGCAATCATGAAACAGGAAATGAACCAGATGGAATTACTGCAACATTGAAAGCTTATACAGGTAGTCCTCAACTTATAACCATTTGTTTAATGACCATTCACTAACAACAGAACTGAAAAAAGAGACCTATGACCATTTTTCTCACTTGCAGCATCCCCAGGGTCTCATAATCAAAATCTGCACGCATAGCAACTGGCTTATATTTATGATGGTTGCAGAGTCACAGGATCATGTGATCACTTTTTGGGACCTTCTAATAAGCAAAGCCAATGATTCACTTTACAACTATGTTGCTAATTTAATAAGTGCAATGGTTCAGTTAACTATTGTGGCAAGAAAGGTCATAAAACGGGGGCAAAACTCACTTAACAGGTGTCTTACTTAGCAACATAAATTTTGGGGTTAATTGTGATTGTCAGTCAAGGAAGACCAAAAGGCAACTGGACTTTGTTTTTCCTTGAAGACATTTCGCTTCTCATCTAAAAACATTCTTCAGTTCTGTCTGAATGGTGGAATGGTGGAGGATGGAAGGATATATATTCCTTGCAGTCATCTGGTTGTTAGCACACTTTATGAGAGTTGTTGAGATCACTTGGAGGTTTATCTGTGTCCTCAGTGTCACCTTAATAGTGCAAATGGGTGTGTGGCAGAGGTGGTATTCAGCAATAGTAGAAAATTTGAGTAGTTCAGAGAACCGGCAAATCCCACCTCTGACTGGCCCTGCTAACATCTCTTCTCTGCCTCCCATTGAGTCCCAGCTGATCGGCTGGGTCTCCTTTTGTTGCCCTGCACAAGAGAACAGAGCTGGAAATCAGGTTAGGGGGGTGGGGAGGGAAGGGGGATTTTGCAGTATCTTTCCCCTGCCATGCCCACCAAGACACATCCACAGAACCAGTAGTAAAAAAAAAATATGAATCCCACCACGGGTGTGTGGAGCCTTCTTGGACCTGTAGAAAGGACTGTGTTGTAGACAGGAGATAGGGGGTGTCATATTCCTTCTCTCTGTTGAGAGGGGGCTGTTCAATCTTAATGTAGAGGGCCTCTTTGAACCCACTTTCAAACTAAGCCTTCCATCTTTCACCATTCAGTCAGAACTGAAGAAGCTTCTTGAATGAGAAGCGAAACACCTTCAGGAAAAACAAAGTCCCTTTGCCTTTTGAAAAAGCATCTTTGAGACCTAATTGAGGATATGCAGCCCTACGTAGTTTTTTTTAAAATATCTGCATTTAAAGGTTTAGATTATTTGGGGCAATGTCCCAATTTATTGAACCTCTTCTTCCACGCCTTCGTTTTAGAGCAAATTGTCTTTTACACAAGTCCTAAAAAGCTACTGGATGGGAACGCTCCTCTTCCTCCTCAACATGCAGACTTATTATGCCTTTTAGAAGATCTTCGGTCATCTTGCGTTAGGAGCTGTTTCCCCCTGGTAAAATACTGTGCCCCCTCCCCATTTTTTTTTTAAAAGATGTCTATTGCATAATCCATTCCTAGAAGCATACAAATGTACAGGAACTATTAACTTGGCCATCCACCTATGAACCACAAGGGCATTCTTATAATGGGTGCTAAAATAAGAATACAAATAAAATCCAAGCAATCAGCCTTGGGCTGTTTGAGCACTTTTTAAAATGGTCCAGTGAGTGAAGTGCCTGGGTCAAAATAGTAATAAAAATAAAACGCATTATGAAATGTTTCACTTGAATCCCATTTCCCTCCCACCCACCCCCTGCCTTCCTAGGTATAAAATGAAATGTGGACAACTTAGCCTGTTGCTAAGTTCCTGCAGGCTTGGGAGTAGTACTTGATTCAGTGGGATTCAGTAGAATGGCTCTGTTAGAGATGTCAGGAAAATAACTCGGTTGTCTGTCAGGCAACAGCCCTGTTCCCTGGCCAAATTCTGGCTGCAGCTAAAAACAAATGTGAGAAGCGAGGCAGTGTGGTTTCACCACAGTTTCCTCCCAACAAACCAGTAAAGTGGAAGATTTTCCCCAAGGGAGGGGAAGCTGCCTAGAAGCCAAAACCAGAACTTCAGAGGGAAAATTTTGCTGCCCTTAGAAAAACTTTAAGACTTGTGGACTTCAGCATGGCTTGTCTGAGTAATTCTGAGAGTTGAAGTCCACGAGTGGCTAAGTTTGGAGACCCCTGACTTAGAGTCCCAATTGGCACACCTGCTGCCAGAAAGCATATGTGGCAGACAGTAGGGAAGCAATATCTCTCTATCATGTCCCTATCATGGGATAGCTGCTTCTGTATTTCTTCTTTCTATTTTTCTGCTCTCTGGCAGAAAGGTCAAAGACTACCTTCAATCCTTGCACTTTTAGCTTGTCCTCACTTCAATTGGGATCAGAAATTTTGTTGCTAAACAAGGAGGTTGTTAAGTCAGCCACACCCAGTTTTATGACCTTTTTGTCACGGTTATTAACCGAAGCACTGCGGTTATTCAGTGAATTATCTGGTTGTTAAGTAAATCAGGTTTTGCTCACTGAATTTGCTTATTGGAAGCTGGGTGGGAAGGTCGCAAATGGCGAACAAATGACCCCGGACATTTCAACCATCATAAATATATATTGGTTGTCAGGCACTCGAATTTTGATCACATGATTGTGGGGTGCTGTTGTAAGTTTGAACGGTCGCTAAAGAAATGATTATAAGAAGAGGACTACCTGCCTATTAGATGCAAATTTCAATATAGATTTAGATATACTGGATTGGGCACTCAGATGTACCCAACGGGAAGCACGTCCAAACTCAAGTTCTAATCTGTACAAGTAGTCCTTATTAACCACAACTTGTTAAGCAAAGAGGTTGCTAAATGAAACTGTGATGACCCAAAGGGGTGTGCCACAAAGGCAACACAGTCAAATAAGCAAGAATTGTCCCTTTAATACCTCCAACTTTGCTTCCAATGTCCAGGTTACCTTCGGTTGGAGAAAAAACTCTCCCACAAACAGTCTTTAAGTGGAGGAAAGTCAGTCCAAAAACAAAATACATACAAACTGTAAATAAAAACCCACACAAACCACGCTGCAGTAATTAACTTGACAGGGCAGGAGAAGGAATTGCAGACTTGAAAGCCCAGCAAAACATACACAGTTGGGAAGACACCAGGAACCCAGGTAAGCCTCGACAATAAAAGATAACTCACGATTTGCTTCCAACAAGTTGCTGTGCGTAGCTTTCCTTTTTAAACACTGTGTTCCCAGCTGCAGCTAATGAAGGGAATCAGGGCCCTTTCCTCCCCTGTAAGCCATGCAACCCATGTTGCTCTCTTCTCCGTTCCTCCCTGCATGCCCTAGGATGAAGAGGGGGTAGGCCTGGGTTTTCCTCCAAATTCTCTCTCCCTTGCTCTACCTCTGCCCAGCCGCCCTTTGCCCTTCCCCATTTTCTTCCACAGCCAAGGGAGCCATACTCCCACACCCTGTCAGCTGCTCAGACTCCACCTCCAAATCAGATTCTGACAGGGGCATGACAGAAACCACAATTGTGCTTATGATCTAAGTTCAGCTTTCCTTTCCTTTGCAGACATATCAAGGCTGCAAATGAGAGAACTGGCTACAAAGTTACTTTTTTATCACCGTTATAACTGCGAACAATCAGTAAAGGAGGACTAGTTGTATTTTCAATAGGATCTGTTTCCAGATGCATTTTCCATTTGTAAGTTCCACCAGTCCTCACAAGGATGCCTAAGACTTAAGGCATCCAGACAAGGTTGTTATTTTCTTAAAAGAAAGTAATTCTGGTAGGGCTGAAATTTCCAAAGCATTATTTGAATTAACTCGGAAACGATCTGAGATCATTTTATAAAGCAACATAAAATCAAAAGCAGAGTTCTTGTTATAATCTGAGGTCCTGGAAAAACCACCCCCTGTTATAAACTTATTTAGCCTGTTCGAATGTAAATGAGAATTCATTTTGTAGAACAGCCAAGGGGTAAAAGAAAATGGCCAGGGATTTTAATGAAACTAGAATTCGCAATCTTCCAAATTAGACTCCACTGTAGAATGGATAGGTAGCAATGTCTTCTGATAGCTCTTGTTTTCTACTAAAATGTCATGCGAAAAGTATCTAATAACGCCGCCTGAGTATTACAGAGCAATATGACTTTATTACAATTAAGAGTGGAAATGAATCTGGAAATCCTTCTTGCAATCCAATTTTAGCCTGAGTAGGAGAAGAATTCTGGGGCACAGAAAGCTACCTTTGAGATGAAGTGTGATGCACTTAACAGAATGTGGCTTTGGAGAATTGTATGGCTATATCTAGGCAGGGCCCAAGATGAAGTAGATTCAGTAGAAAAGCTGAGTTCAAACCAATAGCAATATCCATGCTGGCAGCTACTGCAACCCCTATAATGTTTGGAGTTAGGAAATTGCACATGAATAGTACGTTAAAACTTATGAGATTGATAGTTCCTAACGGTGCATAAGAGCGCCAGCACTGCTTGCTTCCTTTCAGGCATAGGGAGCACGGATGTATGGAACAGTGGAAAAACACCACGAAGAAATTGTTTGTTCAAAGCTGGCCAGGAAAGGATTAGCATCTGCACAGCTTTCAAGAAAAGCTGCCACAAGGCGCCTTTTGATGGGGGGGAGGGGGGCTGTAGGCCTGGTGCACGGTTGAAACCAGCCGGAGATGGGGAAAAGGACATTTTACGGAATTTCTGTTTTTACAATATTTAGGGCCCTCCACCATCCATACTGACTCAAGAAACTGAACTACTTTCCAAAGTAGGGTTATTTTACACATTCAACTCATTTTTATCTATCTATCTATCTATCTATCTATCTATCTATCTATCTATCTATCTATCTATCTATCTATCTATCTAT